CTGCCGCCAGAGCTCGTACTTGTATCTAAAGCCGCAGATGTGAGGTGGTGGAGCTGATCCCGAGAGCTGCAGCGAGTGCCTTGCTCTGCCGGGTAGCCCAGGCGTGCCACGGTGCCGCTGCTCCCGTGGAGGCCCCGGGGGGCTGCGGGTGAAGCTGGTGATCTCTGGGTCTGTGGCCGCAGACGTGAGGTGGCAGAGCCCAGGCGTGCCACAGCGCCGCTGCTCCCGTGGAGGCCCCGGGGAGCTGTGGGTGAAGCTGGTGATCTCTGGGTCTGTGTATCTCCCCACACCTCCCAGTCCCGTCCAGGCAACGAGAGCCGTGAAACCACAGCTGGGGCTGCGCTTAACTGCTCTGCGGGGACTCGGTTACCTCCGTCCTGAGCGAGGGAGGAAGACCAGAGCGCTCCTTCCTTCAGCCCCTGCGAAGCTCCAAGCACCCCTCTCCTGTAATTCTTGCCCCAGGTCCCCCAGGTCCACCAGAAGCCGTGACAATAGATGAAATCACCGACACCACCGCTCAGCTGTCCTGGAGGCCCGGAGCAGACAACCACAGCCCTATTACAATGTATGTCGTGCAAGCAAGGACCCCCTTCTCGGTGGGATGGCAAGCGGTGAGCACAGGTAGGTCCATCGCCTGGGCCCTGAAGGGCTCCACCGATGGAAGACGCATCCATCAGGACCCACACATGGGTCGGGTGGAGCAGCTCTGCACCCTGAGAAGGAATTTCACCAGCTGCAGAGCGCTGGTCTTGTTAACTGGTTTCAAGTTCGGCAACCCAAAGATTTAGGGTCCAGTCAGTGCTATCACTCATCCATTTTTCCCATGAATGTTTAAGAGAAAACAGAATGAATTCCTATCTTTTGTTGCTGCGCTGGAGATATACAACAGTAATTGTCATCTGTAAAGACATCCCTCAGGGAGAGACCGTGTCATCTGGCCTGCCTTTAAGTAGAATTATTTTCCTGATAGAGGGAAAAGTCCCATGATGTAATTGCTCATTCCTTCAGAGGTTAATTTTGTTCCAGTAACCATTAAATAGAGGGAACTGTGTTTTAAAAAGAGAAAAATAAAAACCCTTTAAACCCGTTGTCTTGACACTTTGTTTTCAAAAAGTGGCAATTGAGGAGGAACTCTGTAATAGCGGGAAATTTCTGTGCTACAAGCACAATGTTTTAATGCTGCCTCTTCCTTGCAGTTAACAAAATGTTAGAAAAATGAGAAAAGGTTTATCAGTCTTTGTTTACTTCGTATTTACATTAATCCCTCACTTTTAAGGGTATCAGGTATGACCTTTTCTCAGCAGCCTTTAATTCTTTTAGTGGCTTTCATTGCATTCCTGACCCGTGGCTGTCTCCTAGTTCCAGAGATCATCGATGGCAGGACGTTCACAGCGACAGTGGTGGGTCTGAACCCTTGGGTCGAGTATGAATTCCGAGTAGTGGCTGCCAACATGATTGGGATTGGAGAACCCAGCAGACCTTCAGAGAAGAGAAGAACTGAAGAAGCTCGTAAGTAGTGGTGGGCAACTGGGTTCAATCTTGTCGAACAAGTGCGCATCAGCACCCGTTGCTCTCCTCCCTCCTAGCATGTGTGCACAGAACAGGCAGGGGAAGTTGTGGAGCGCCTGATGGGCTCTTTTGCTCGCTCCATGACTCCTGGAGTATAGGAAGACTTCACCCCCTTTCCCTGCGGAAAGCAATGATTTTCCGAAAAAGGGTATTCGGGCAAGTTTTTTGGAAAACACTGCCCAGTATCCCTTGATGAGAGAGATGAACTCTGAGAGCAGTCCCTCTATTTCACCGTGATCAATGTGATGGAAACTCTGGAGCACAGACTAGAGCACCTTGACAGCAGCAGCTTGAGCTTCACAGCTGGAGAGTCAGCAGTCCCTTGATGCTGGGGGCTTCTGTGGTTCTTGGAGTAACTTGGACCTCCCCCTAGGAGCTTCTGTGGTTCCTGGACCTCCTCCTGCGGGCCATCAGTGTTGGAGCAACCACCCTGGGCTGCCCTGTGGGTTGGATCATTTCACGGACCTAGCGAAGGTCTGCCGCGACCCTCTCCCAGACGCACCACCGCGTCCTGGAGCCACGCTGCGTCTTCAGGCTGCTGGAGGCAGAGCTTACAGTGATCTCCAGCAGTGCTTGTGTTCAGGGGTTGCAGCACAAGCCACCGGCCTTGAGAGCTTTTGTGCTCCTTGATGCTCTGCCTGTCTTTTGATCTGGCAGGAAGGGGTCACGGCAAGGCGTAGGCTCAGCGTGGTGGCTGCAGGGGTATGTGCCTTGGTTATGGGAAACCCCTGGTAGATGGCTCCTCTGTTCCATTTCAGCCTGTAATGGAACAGAATATGAAACAGGAAAATAAATAAAAGCCCTTTTTTATGGAAGATAAATGTTTAAACTAAACAATTAGTGGCTGAATACACAAGTTAATTGACATACTTTTAATATACTATTATTGACATACTTTTAATGTGCTGTTTGCCATGGCAAATTAGCCGTTTCCTAGCAGCGTTTCTGGAACCCAGCAGGGGAAGGCCAGCAGAGTCCTGTGGCTGTGTAGGGCTGTTACATTTCAATGCGCTTTTCTGGTTTCCCAGTTGCCACGTGCACCTTTTTTTTTTGCAGTTCCTGAAGTGACCCCAGCCAACGTCAGTGGAGGTGGAGGGAGCAAGTCTGAGCTGGTGATTACTTGGGAGGTAAGTAGAGCCCAAGCTGAGAGGAACATTAATCCTGACCTAGATACACCCTTTCACCCCAGACCCCAGTGAAGCTTCTGTAGATTTCTCTAGGTTTGCAGTAAAAAAAGCCCAGGTTGTGTGATAAAAATAGCCCAGTTGTTGAAATTGAGCTAAACCCCTTCCCCTCCCCAGGCCCCCATGCAAAGGAAGCCAGCAGAGAAGTGCTGGGCAGGGGACCGAGCTGCCCATCGCTGCTTCGACACGAGCTCGGCTCCCCCCGACTCTCAGCCCGTCCGTACGCCCATGGCAGAACATGGACAGGCAGGAACCACCTGAGGGATAAAACAGTGTTTGTGAGACCAGGCACATCCTGAGCTGGCTGAGAATTGCTGTGGCTGGCTCCCAACCTTCACCCCTCATCCCTGCGCTGGGATACGTGGCAGCAAATGGTTAAGAGCACAACGCATTGCATGGTGGCTTTCATGGCTGCTAACGAAAGCCAGCAAGAGGAGATACAGAGGAGAAAAATGTTTAATATTCCTGAAGGCAGTCAGGGTTAGAACTTTAGTCATTTGTCTGCTCGTATTTTCATGTTATGATGCAGCTGGCATATTTTTCCTAATAATGAACTTCACTAGACACGCTAACACTTCCACTTAGCACTGTTTCTGACCAAGCTGGCAGAATGGATCGCCAGAGATATTTTTAAGGTTATTAAAAAACTGTAAATGGCTTTTTGTCCTCACCACACAGCTCAGCGTGCTAAATTTCCTCCTCCGTTGAACTAATTAGCTACGCCGTGTCTCCCAAAGATACCGCAATATGTTTCAAGAACACACGTGGCAAGAACGTCAGCTGTTGATTTGAGATGTAATTTGTACAAAACATAGTTTGTGTTTTGATAGGACAGTCAGTTTACTCTCTTAAATATCTAGAGGCCTTTTCTTGATGGTCTGGTTGTTTTTTGAGCCTTACAATACAGGGTAAGAAGCAGTCACCAAAAAGTAACTCCTGCAAGTGCTCAGGCACTGTGGACACCTGCGAGAGAGTGGCGCGTAATTCCAAGTTATTTTACTACGTTGAGGCTTTGGGGTTTGCTGCAGCTTTTAGGGAGCTGCAAGCCTGAAAGTAGGAAGTGTCAGTGTGTCCAGAAGTGACCTGGAGGTGGCAGGTTGTTCCTTCTGGCTTACCTAGCACTCACCTGCCCTTCTCCATCACGTTTGTGACAAGTCATTCCCTGCCATCGCCGTCTCCAGCAGGTCACGTTGTAAGGGGTGGGGATGGTCGGCTGGCGTGCTCTGGGTCACTGCGTAGCCACGGGCCAGCGAGGGACCGCCAGCCCCGCGCTGGCTGGGACGTTGCCAGGATGTGTTCTTCAGGGCTTCACGTGCGATTCCAAAGGTGCGAGAGCAGCTGCGCGTGTGCTGGGAAAGCAGGAACCGTGTCCTTGGTTCACCCCAGCAAACCTCAGACACTTGGACGTTGCACTGCCTAAAATTACTCGCGTCGTTACCAGAGGCTCTGTCTAGTCCGTGAAGGAAGGTGGGCGCCTACAAAGGTGAATTGAGCCTTAGGCGAAGGGTCTCCTGGAGGTGCTGCTTTCCCCTCTGACCACAGGGAGCTCGCGGAGCGGCCAGGCTCCAGCACAGACGGGGTGGGATGAATTCGGGTTAGATGCGCAGTAGGGCTCCAGCCGCCTCCCGTCTCTTCACGCCTTGATTAGGGCAGTAGCTTTAGAAGGACCAAGAGGCCATCGCCAGCGTGCAGACGGGGAGATAAGCACGTGCCGTGGCTGAAAGTGCCCTGTCTCCCCCTGCCTGCCCACAGACGGTGCCCGAGGAGCTGCAGAACGGCGGCGGCTTTGGGTACGTGGTGGCCTTCCGCCCCTTCGGCACCGTCAGCTGGATGCAGACCGTCGTGGCCTCCCCGGACGCCGCCAGATACGTCTTCCGCAACGAGACCTTGCCGCCCTTCTCCCCCTACGAAGTCAGAGTTGGGGTGTACAACAACAAGGGGGAAGGGCCGTTCAGCCCCGTCACCGTCGTCTACTCGGCAGAGGAAGGTAGAGCCGGGAACCCGCCCCGCCGCTGGACGCGGAGGGGTTGACTGGGTCTGAAAGGGTTTCTTGTCCACCTTGACATATCCTTTGATACCTAATTCTTGCTCTGATTTATAATAAATGGCGAGCTGTGATTAATTCTTTTGATAGTCATTAAAATAACATTAATCGTAATGAAATCTTTTGATATTAATGGGAAAGTAATATGTAATCTGGAAAGAATTCCGCTGAGGTTTAGCATGAATTAATGTCCACTGATTAGAAAATGTTCCCTCTTGTCCTAATTACAGTACATGGTATCCTGGGTTGAGTTTAGTAGTGACATCTTATTATTTCTTAGGTAGAGGAGCGGTGCTGTCTGGCCCAGGCTGACAGGCCATCGTTTTGAAATGTGGAAGTTTGTTTTGGTCGAGTGCTTTTTTCCTCTTGCAACGAAGAAAATAAATCCCCTGAAGTTTGGGACTAATTGAACATAAAATCGAAAACTCCTAATGTTATTTTTACCTCCTCTGCCCAGAGCCGACGAGAGCCCCAACCACTGTTTTGGCCAGGAGTCTTTCTGCCTCAGACGTTGAAGTTTCTTGGGCTCCCCCTTGGGAGAACCAGCACAAAGGAAGAATACAGGGATATGAGGTATGGAAAGACAGCGCAGCATCCTTTCGGTACGAAGCCTTGAGGAGACATGGAGGTACATCACGGGCAGTCACTGCGGTGCTGCTCCTGCCTGCCACGGGGCAGGGGGGTTCCCGCGGCGTATTTCCTTCGTCTCTTCAGTGCACGGAGATTTCTCCCGCCTGGTAAACACTCAGGCACCCGTCTGTGTGGGATCTGGCTGGAAATGGAGAGCAGAGCTTGCTGGGGGAAACCTACACGAATGTGCTTCCACAGCCAGGCAGCATCTGAGGGGGAAACGCTGCAGCCAGGCTGCTTTCCAGCAAGGAACAAGAACGGATTGTAACAGGGTGCAGGATCTGTCCCTGAGGCGCAGTTAGTGCTGGAAACGAGCGGGTGCCGCCAGCCCGTAGCTGGAGGTAGACCCGTACCTGCTCTGCTCCTCAGGTCCGGTGTTGGAGGCACGACGAAAAGGAAGAAAACGCCAAAAGGGTTCGAACGGTTGGCAATCAGACCTCCACCAAGGTGGGCAACCTGCGAGGCAACGCGCTGTACCACTTGGCAGTCAGGGCGTACAACACGGCTGGGACCGGCCCCTCCAGCGCCGCTGTCAACGTCACAACCAAAAAGCCACGTGAGTGTTCGTGGGGACGCGGGGGGCTCTTGCCTGGGAGGGTTTCTGCCAGCGCTCCCCTCTCTCGTTTACAAGCTTTCCCGAGTCTGAAGGAGCTCTCAGACTTTTCTTTGCTGGGTTTTTGGGCAGAAGACCTGCCAGCTTGCTTTTTTTTTTTCTTCCTCTAAGGCTCTTCCCTGTGTTAAGTAAGCAGAGCATGCAAAACCGACATCACAGCTGTGTGCAGGAAAATTAAATATTTATCTCATCGTTCAAGAGGGCTTTTTTCTTCTGGTCTCAGGCATGTTGAGCAACTGCCCGAATCCTTTTTGTCATTTAGAGCACTGTGTTGTGTCACACCTCCCGTGACCTGAAGGACACAGAGCCGTGAAACGGCTCATTAGCTTTCCAGAGCGATGGGACTCTGGGCTCACTCAGCTGCGGTGGTGGAAGCCTCATTGGTACTGGGAGGGATCCAACTGGGAACCAGTGCTCCTTAGGAGTACAATGCTGTTTATATTTTGGTGTAGCACCGAGTCAGCCCCCTGGGAACATCATATGGAATTCGTCCGACTCCAAGATCATACTGAACTGGGACCAAGTGAAAGCGCTGGACAACGAGTCCGAAGTGAGAGGCTACAAAGTGAGTATTTTGTCAGCACAGGCAGCTGCCCCACCCCCCTCACCACCCCCTGGTCCTGCAGTGAATCCTCACTAAGCTTCCGCGTAGGGCTGGGGCTGTAGGGAACGTTTCCAAGAAACCAATGTCAAGTTGGGGCTTACAAGATGACCAGATGAGGTGTTTTTCATGGTGCTTGCATGGTTTTCCAGCTTAAAACTGGAGCATTCCTCCAGAAAGAGAGGCCATGTGGCTGTGTAGAGCCAGCTCGTTCTGCCGGCCGCTCGCCCTCGCCGCGGCGATGCTCGTCCCTGTGGGCGCCCATGCGGGCTTCAGCCCACGGGCCTTCACCTGCTCCTTCCCTCCGAAGCTCCCACCTGCAGGACTGCTCTCCTGCCTCCGGTGGAAACCTTCCGAAGGCTGTAGTTGACTCCTTAATTGCAGATAAATAAAATGCTTTTTTAATAGCTCCCATTTTCTCCAGAAAGCAAAGCCAAAAGGAAAAGAAAGAGAATCCTCATTAGTAGCAGTTTTAATGGGGTATAATTTAACTAGAGAGAAATCTTGGGAAGAATTCAGCTCTGTCATCTTACACAAGGGTTTAATTTGGCCCAAAGAAGACATCGCTGTGCACTTGCCAGCCGTTGCCGTGGGGGTTGAGTTGTGCAGACGTTTCCCACCAGAGCTTGAAACGATGAAGAACCTGGACACGCTTTGTGTTCTGTTCGCAGTCTGGAGTGCCAGCGGCGTCGGCTTTGTGAGCCTCTGCCAGCTCGCCTGAATTTCTGCGCTAACTTTTAAGTATCTTTGGTGCACTGTATCGGATTATCAAAAATAAGTAATTCCTCAGGGTTTTTAGTCGAAACCTCAGATGAACCTCAGCAGTTTGGCCCAACTTTTCACGACATTTTTTAGGTTTGAAATGCAAATTAAGAAGTCAGTTGAAAGGGGGTGAGAGAGACTCATCGCCCTGAAAAAGCAAACTCCATCTAGTGGGTTTCTAAAAAGTCCTCTTTTAACTTACTGTTAGGATAACACAGCCAGGTTTCTTTCCTGAAGCACACCAAAACGTTGCCCTTTTTTTTTTTCCCCCTTGGAAATCTCCTGGTTTATGTCACAATTTGTGATCTAAATCGGTGGAATTCCCAGATCTTAGAAGGTAATTCAAAACAGCCAATTATTCTGGGAATCTGGTCTTGGCACTGCATCAAATACAACTCAGTTTCCTGAAGAAACATCAGAAGAGGTTTTGATGTCTCTACCTAAGCCTCAGGATTTCTTTTAGCTTGATCGAGCTAAAGATTTCACTGAGGGGCTCTGCCAGGTACCAAGACCCCATTGAGTCCTGCTGCGCATTAACGTCGCCCTCCCCCCAGCGTCACTTCCCTGCCCAGGCACTGCCACCGCGGTGCTGGTGTAGGTCCCCAGCCAAAACCCCTGTGGGGGTCCCAGTGGCCCCTCTGTGACCAGCCCGTGTGTCTGAGCATCAGAGACGAGGAAAGAGCAGCTGGATGCTCTCGGGGCAGCGGACATCTCTGCTCTTTTCTGCCTCCTCCTCTCCCTCCCCTTGGCTGCAGGTTTTGTACAGGTGGAACAGGCAGAGCAGCACGTCCGTCATAGAAACGAATAAAACCTCGGTGGAGCTCTCCCTGCCGTTCAACGAGGACTACATCATAGAGATAAAGCCCTTCAGCGACGGGGGCGACGGCAACAGCAGCGAACAAATCCGAATTCCAAAGATATCAAGTAAGGATGGCGAGGGGGGAAGCGGGGTCTGTGCCCGCCGCTGCCACAGGGAACCAGCGTCCCCAGCCCCTCTCCTCCTCACCCACTGGTGGGACGGACCTGCTGCATCCCAGTCGCCCTTTATGTCTACACATGGGGATGAAATAGAGCCTTGAAGCGGAGCAGGGGCAAGCTGTAGGTCTGGCCATCTCCCAGGCTGAAACCCAGACTTACCTGGGACCAGTAGTCATTCCAGCCCATGGCTCTGGTTTCATCCTGAGTAGCTCTAGTTGTGGTTAAGATTTCTAGACTGTCTTACTTCCATACTCCTGTATGTGTTGAATATATTGTTCCACTGCAATTCACTGTAACAAAATACAAAATGGGGTGTTCAGAGGCTTTTAAATTTATAAGGGTACTGTATAGCCATCTCCCATTGTGTGCTGGATGCATAAATATTTATTTAGGGAAATGAGGTTGTGTAGAAAAACAAGCAGAAAAGAGAGTATTTTATTACACAACATTGCTTTTGCAAAATCTCCATGTCCCATCTTCCATTAATAATGCCTCAGTTTATAAGCTGCATTAAATCAGGAGCCTCTGCAATGCAGGAATGTGGCATTAAACTTAGAGCAATGTGAAAAACACCCTGAGTGAGATCAGAATTACCTCCACTGTGGTTGTACGCTGTGGCTACATAAACCATACAGGGGAATTGAATCAGCAGGCGCAGGAGAGTGAGGGGGAGCAGGAACACACGCCGGTTCCGATGGGGCTGAACGCAGCGGGCCACAGAGCGGGGATGCAGCTCCTCCAGGACGCGGTTCCTGCCAGGCTGGTGCCATAAGGAACAGCTTGAATATCGTCCAAATGGAAAAATAAAAATAAAAATAAGTAAACAGGCCATGAAGTAATGTAATTGTGAAAGTAGCCTCCACGCAACAGCAGCCGGAATTAAACCAAAAATGCAGTTAAAGAGGTGAAACTCGGGAAACAGGAGGTTATTGAAGCAGGAGGAGGGGACTGCGCGTGGGGGGCGACCTTCCCGGCAGCCACCTCACCTCCCGCCACCGCCGCGCTCCGTCGGAGGAGAATCTGGGGGCGTGGGGGGCAGGTTTGGGTTGGGGAAGGGTGCTCTCTTCCCCGTTGGCTTATCTTCTTGCCCCTCTCTCCTTCGCCCAGATGCCTACGCGAGAGGATCCGGCTCTTCGACCTCCAGCGCCTGTACCCTGTCGGCCATCAGCACGATAATGATATCGCTCACAGCTCGGTCCAGTTTATGACAAAAATTGCATAAAGGACTTCTTGTTTATAATATAAGCAACATTTAGCTAGTTGTTTTGAAGACACCCAGTACTAAGTAATATTGTGGTTTGAGTACATCTTACTACTGGAAAAATGTTTATGCTTCTTTAGGAATGGCATTATACAGTACTTCCTCAAAGCAAATATAGCTTTGTCTGAAGTTTCCTTGGAAACTCTGCAATGCACTGAAAACATCTGTAATATGATGTTACCAAAGCAGTTTACATATGTCCTTATATGCATATTTTTTATTATATATTTAGTGTTTTATAGAATTTTTTAAAGTTAACATATGATGTAGATATTAATTTTTCCTCTGCTATAAAATGCTATGGACGACATTATCATGAAAATATTGTTTGGAATTTTTTCCTTTAGGATGGAGAGTTCAAAGTTGTTCTTCGTAAATTGGCTGCAACTTTACTGTACAGTTTCACAAGGCTGCGCAAGGCAGAACTGTTCCAGAAGGGGTTTGTAATTTAAATGGCAGGTTACAATGATTCCTGTGTTAGATCAAGTGCTCATGACACACAAGATGTGATGTTTTATTCAGAGGTCCAAGCAAGTCCAACTCAAAATACTCAGAACGCTATCATCTTGAAAACAGACGTGAATTTGGGTTGGTTGTGGACTACAGGACATGTAGCTAATATTCCGGCATCACGCAGCAAGGGTCCATCTTTACTGCCTTGAAATAGCTTTGTCTTTATCATAATTAGCATTGAATTGGGTAGGAAGGAAGGTACTGCAGAGGTGCGAGCTCTGCCTCTAGTGACAAAAAGGGACAGACAGGTACCCGAAGGAGCGAGCGAACAACGCTCTTCTCACCTTGGGGTGTAACCCTGGCGAAATCCACCTCGCTGTTGGGGATTTTCTTCCCAGAAAATTCGAATACAGCGACTCCGAGACGTGAAGCTGCCCTGGGCTCGTGGCGGGAACACGCGCTTTGCTTTCCACGTGCATTGGAACATCGCAACTCGTCATCCTCCGTCACGCCAGTGTCTGGAAAACGCTGAGGAAGTCTGGTCGGAGCGGAGAGCGTCCGAGGAGCGGGGCCGGGCGTCGGGGTCCCACGGAGGGGCAGGTTGGCCGCGGGGCGAGGGGTTCTCCCGGCAGTGCCCTGCTGGGAATTCTGCGTTTCTCTCAAAACTCTTCATCGAGGCCTGAAGGCGAAATAGGGTCACGCCGGAAAACGACGATATCCGCGGCAAAATAATTCTTCTTAAGAGAAGGACTGTTTGTTACTACGGGGTAATTTTGTAAGTTCACTCAGATGAGATAACGCTAGCAAAAGGCAACGGCATTTTCTATAAAATTTTCAAGTTTAAATGCGCTGCAGTGGTTTTATTTTTTTTTTTTTTTCCTGATAGCTTGGATTTGCCTGTAACTTGTCTTTTTTGCTTACAAAATGATACAGTTAACTTTTAGACCTTCTAAATATATTTATTCAGTAACTCATAATCAGGATTCCACTTGTGTAAAAGTCAGGGGTGTTGACCAGAGAAATATTGTCAGTATTTCAAGCTGTGTTCCTTTCTTAGTTTGATATGGTTACTTCTATGTAAAATAAAAAAAATTAAAAAAAAAAAAAATTGAGAGAGAAAAGAAAAACAAACAAAAAAAACCACAAAACCAAGAAAAATGGAACAAAAAAAAAAAGCTTCTGTAGTTTTCTCCCCAGTGTAAATGATATTTATCAGTGATCTAGCAGATGTAATCTTTTTTTAAAGGTATTGGTAATAAATATTCTGTCATTTGTAAAGATACCTGTCTTCCAGGAGCGTTTTTCCTCCACGTTCCGTTCCACCCGGTGACAAATTTCACCACGGCCATAGGCAGCGCCTGCTGAGATTGTCACTGATGTGAAGATACCAAAGAAGAATTGGTTTAAGTCAAAACTTTGTGGAGGCAGGGGGAAAAGAAAAAAAAAAAATCTGTTTCTACATCTCTGGTCGCATTCAGCTTTCAAAACTGACCAAAAAAAATATAATCTACGTGGGTGAATTTGGGGTGATAATGTCTGTTATCCCTCATGTCAAGTCATGACCTTTCCCAGCCCGTGTGGGCTGGTGCTCTCAGCGTGGAGCCTGCGCATCGCTGACCTGCGCCCAGAGCAAACCCCGCTCCGGGTACAGCACCGCTTCTCTGGTTTTCTTGGTGGATTTCTGAGGATTTGGGGGTACGCTGCTTGAAATGGCTAAATCCACCCAACCCCTTTTCCAATTCTGATTTTTAGGGGTGGCGGCGCAGGAGTCGTGCGATTGTGCTCTGCGGTTCGAAGGGAGCGATATTGCGCTTTGCAGTCAATGAAGCTTAAAAATAGAAAGGCCTGGTGGCACAAGTCAGTCTTTAAAAGGCAAATTTCAGATTGCCACCTCTAGAGGAGGGCGAGGGGGCTGCTCCTGTGGCCGTGGGGAAAAATACAGGAGGAGGAACTCATGGGGTTTGTAGCTGGGTTTAAAGAAAAAAAAAAACACCTCAGAATAAATATTTCTCTGCGCTCCAGGCACAAAACTTGTAACTGATGTAGGAATTTGGGGACAAACAGCTTCACCGGCGGTATGGGCTGGTGTAACAGCGGCAAAATGCGACCCGCAGCCCTGAGCGTGGCCTGTCCTCTCTGCACTCCCCGCTGCAGCGCTCGCCGGCGGCACGGGGCGGTGAGAGCAAATGGCCTGGGATGAACTGGACGTGCTGCTTTCTCTCTGTTCCTGCCCGAAATGAAGACTCTTCGCTCCGAGTGTAAGGCCTGTGAGGAGGCAGCTCTGCCACGAGCTGCTCTCCTCATCCTGCACAGGTGGAGCTGGTTCAGTCTGGGTTCTGAATCCGAGAAAACTCAGTGACAACTCAGC